TCGCATGGGACCGATTCCTCTTTATGCAGAAAATGCTATAGGAGAGAGACGACGAGGCCTTGGTGGATATTTGTATGTCGTATGCATGAATCCCGAGTGTGGTGAAGTTAACATGGTACCATATGGGAAGACGCATCGACAGAAAGATAAAAGAACAGGGATGCCATGTTTTGTTGTGAATACTAAATTAGGCACAGGTTTGTAATTTCAAATAGTTTCAGAAATTAAGGAAAATCTCAGATTTTTACACTGAGTAACAGTCATATAATGTTTAAAATAAACTTTCACTGTTTAATACCATTTTTTTTTCAAACCACTTGTGCACAGTCATTGTACAGGAATACATTGTTTCTAGCTATGACAGACAGTCTTGGAGGGCCAGATCGAGTCAATAACCTCCTGTCTACGCTGAACATAACAACAGTGAACAATAAGACATTAATGGCTATGGAGCGGCGTGCAGGAGAAAATGTAGAAAGTATAGCCCAGTTAACCACGAAGAAAGCAGCTGATGAAGCTTATCACGTGGAAATGGGGTAGGTTCAATCAGTTTAATATGCTGTTTAATGAACATGAAAATGTGTATCAAATATGGTGTACATAATTGGTTCATTAACTCTGATTTGAATTGATGGTTTAATAAAACTTGGCAATTTTTCTGTTGCTAATATATAAGCTTTTCTTCTTAGTGAAGTGGCTAATGCAGAGTCCAGTGAAGCCTCCCAAACTATGGAAATATTGGATGATCTGGGAGTTTGAGTGTTACCGGATGTATCAGCAAAAACTTAGTTATTAAATAATTTCAATGAATTCAAATGGTACAGTCAAAGCCTATAGGCAGGAAAATTTTATTGACATTTATGTCACTTAAATTATTTTTTAATGTAATGATATTTCAGAGAGATGCTGCTAAAGACCAAGTTGCATGACGCTTTTGAAGTTGTCAAATTCCGTGTTAGTATACATGTAGATCTAATTACATTTCATATTAAGAATATATATAACGTACAGCAGCATTAAATCTGATTTTTTTTTCGAAGTAAAGACGGTTAGGGAATCAAAGTTTTTTTAATCATTATTGTACATGTAATATAGATAAATTCATGATATAAAAAAAAGTAGAAAGATACATGTAGTATATATTTGTTTTTTTAAACCAATTATTTTGTATTAAGCATTTATTTCATTAAATGTATATATTAAAACAGTACTTATAAAACAATATGTTGTTCCGAGTAAGACGCAACAAAATTGACCTTGACGTTAAATATTGATCGCCCCCGATTTTTTCACAAAAATTATGCGAAGGTCACAAATTCAATCTATCGTAATTAAGAAAATACTGAGAGTAAGAAGACTTTTAAAGACTTGTTGAAAAGAAAATTTCCCCTCCTTTTACAAGCTTTATTTTGTTTTCCCTATTTCAGTACAGAAATACACGTAAATCTGAGCTTTGTTTAAATATTACGAATAAAAACAAGAAAAAACACATAACTGTAAGAAAATTCTTGTTTTTACAAAATATTTTAAAGTAATAACAATAATCTTTACATATTTTAAAAGCAAAGAAAATATTCTTTAAGAATATATCATACTTTCTTTATTAAGTTAATCAGGTAAAAAAACGTCAATCGTCGGGAAAATCGTCAATTACTATGGAAAATTGCGCCATTTTCAAGAAGTCATGTATGTCTTCAAAACGTAAAATCTATTCATCACCGAAATTAAGACACAAAATTTTTTTCATAGTTAAAAAGTAGAGAAAATTTCCAAAAAGATGATATATAGTTTGTATACCTTTATGCTATCATAAAATAGATACGAAAATCTTATTTTCGCGAAGTTGTGTTTCAACTCGCCACCCGTAAAATTGACCGGTGTGGGAGTGAAGGGGTTAAAGAACTAATGTTAAATTACGAGCTAAAATTTCAATGAAAATACGTTGATAATAAAAAAAAAACCAATTAATTACGATTTAATACTTCGTAAGGTGTCCTTAAAGTCTGATTATATTTTGAAACTGCTTGGGGATGGAGCCTTAAAAACTTTGAATGTAAGCAGGCGTGTTACTTGCCCATATACGCCGAATTTCCTCGATTAAATTGTCTCTAGATTTAATTGCAGCAGTGAGTGACTGAAGTTTCCTTGTTTTAATAAATCATACCTATACCCAAAATCACTCATTTCTCTCATGGGGAAATTTAGAGGGAAAATTCTAATTCTAGGGATACTTTTAGCGTGTGCTGTACACATTGATTGATGGTGATTGGCAAAGTTTGTTTTAGAGTGTGGGGTCCAAATAAAATCAATGTGTTTGGTTAATTGATGTCCTTCTTTTCAGACATTGTATCTAGGACAATGTCCCACAGGCATCATCCCGTGAATCGCCTTCTTTGAACATGATCGACTTGTTCCTAATTTATTGAGGCTTCTCCCTCCGGCCACTTTAGACATTTTTATTGAAACTAAAAGAATGATAACACATTGACGCATCCTAGCTAATTTTTTCATCTGCTAATGATCGGAGACCTCTTGAACATCACAGAAACTGAATTATCTGTTAACTTTTAGTAGTGATTCATAGAATACCGTCTTAAAGTTATATCATTAAAATTTGTAAAACCTTTACACTCTACGGGTTATGCTACAAAGACTTGAGTCGACTCTCTCTTAAAAAGGCAGCAATAATAAAAATAACACCAAGGACGACGAGTTTGAAATACCAGCAAACCAAGTAGTTCTCTTCAAGATCGATGATTGGGACCTAACTATTCGTCTACCGGAAGCAAATCTAACCCAGAACAAAACAGAAAATGGATTGTTTGAAATAACAAAATCCACAAGGAACGACTTGAACTTTCTAAACAAAATCTGAAAGTCTCATTCACGGAAACAAGACTGGAAAGTACCCATCTTGATAGTATCAACACTAAATGTTTCCTGAAGGTACTTAATGAGCAAGATGATTGATTGTTATTGTTTTACGCCGAGTCGGCAATATTTCAGCCATATTTCGGCGGTAGGAATTATAATACTGTATGAACGGTTTTGAAAGTTTTTTGGTTTCTCTGGCGGCCCCCAATGAGCCTACTCTTTTTCGAAAACCAGAGAAACGATTTTTAGCGTGCTAAGGAGGTTGTTATCCTTGACACGGGGCACCGTTTTACGTCCCATCCGACGGACTTGGAATTTAAAAAATAAAAACAGTTCAATTGAAAATTACAAAAATGCTAATAAAAATATATACATTTAAATCTCATTGTAAAAATCAGTTTCTTGCAAGTATTGCAAAATTGCACTAGGGCTCACATTTGCAAAAAGATCATGCATCGTTTGCACACCATTAAAATACTTATTTCGAACAGGTGTAAAATCAGAACATTCTAAAAGTATATGATTCATAGTTATTGCACAGTCACAAGAAATACATTCCGGTTGTTTTCCCCGTTCAGTAAATATGAATGTGTAAACCTGGAATGTCCAATTCTTATTCTTGAAATAATGACTTCGTCTTGACGTTTCAGGCCAAAGTCAGGTGATTGATTAACTTTGTTTTGTATGGTATACGGTTTATTATTATCACAAAAATCCCAAAATATTTGCCAAAGACAATTTACGTAAAGTTTCACTAAGTACTTAAGATCAGTGTAAGGAATTTTAAAAGGTACAATTTCATATTGAAGAGCAGTTTTTGCAGAACTATCAGCCTTGTTATTACCTGGAATACCATAATGACTCGGTATCCAACAAAATTCGACATTTTTACCTTGTTTAGTGAGATGATAAAACTTATTTAATATATCCAAAATGTATGGATGATCAGTGTTCATATTGTGTATGGATTGTAAACATGAAAGCGAGTCTGAAAATATTGTAAAAGAGTTTAATGAGCAAGAGGACCAAAAATTCAAGAACTTACCGACGCCATCCAGAAGCAAGCCTCGCAGAAGGTCAGAGATTTCCTCTCAAATCAAATCAAGGAAAAGATATTGAGGCCAACAGGATAAGGGAGAAACAATAAAAAAAGTAGGATTTGCTACCCAAGAAAGCGCATCCATCAGGAAACAGTTGAACACAGATGTACTACAACCCTACGATGAGAACACCAAAGAACTAGAGGAATTCCGTAGGCATCTAAGCTCTATGCAGCAAAACTCCTCCAATCCAAAGACTTCAACAGTCTCCAGAACCCCAGGAAAAAAGCACCCATCTGCCCCGGAAAGACTGGAACTACAGTAACCGAAGAAATTCATCCTCATGTTATCGTCTTCAAGAAAAGAGAGGTCATTTTAGGAGTGAAATATATGGAGATAACGAACAGTATTCAGGCTCAAAAGTCCAACAAACAATACAAAATAGCAGCAGAGCAAAACGCGGACCTCCGAACATCAGAGGTGGGATCAGGTGCCAGATTGGCTGAAATGCGTTTTCGCACGTTTCCTTTCGTCTTGAAGCATTGCTTGCAATTAAATAACCTACGTTTCACTCTTTATTTCAAGGGGAAATAACGAGTATTTCGAAATTCAAGAAATACATGCGTTTAAAACTTCAGGAGGGGAAGTGTGTGAAAATCATTAAAGCTGCCGTAACACCACAGTTCGGTGTAGAAATTAAAAATGACAGCATTGTACGTAGTCTCTTTTTCAAACTAGTTTACTCTATATTGCATTTTTAGTTTTGCTCTATTTAACGCACTATATTTACCACTCGTAAATTCGATAAACCAAAATTATATATGCAGTATTTTATCGTTGAGTATGCAAATGAAAACATTTTAAAAAAAAATTCATAAATAACTTTTAAATAAAAACAATTTTCATATCCTCTGTTTTTTGAAAAAATACATATATGCAATAAAGTGATGTAAGCTTTAATTTGAAAAGGAAAAGTTAAAATTTGTGATTTCTTTGATTACTTCCTGTTACGACCGGAAGTGACGGCTGACGCGTTTAAACCCTAATGTTTTCGTTTACTCCTCAGGATCTATTATCCAATTAAGATTGGTGTCTTAATCTTTTAACATTTCAGAGATCTCGTTCAGACAACTTCTCATTTTGAGGAAAGAAAAACACGAGACTGGAAATGAACTTTAAAGAGTTTTTAGACGTTACTCTAAATATTTGCAGTCTGAATAACATATCTATAAATCATTTCAAATACTTAATCTATAAAAGATATTTATGGGAAAGTAAAATACTCTAATGATGTAGTTTATCGGTTGTCGTTTTTGTTTCCGGTGGAACAGACATATTTCGATTGGTTGTATATTGTTTCCTGGACGAATTTGATACATGTTCGTCGCCCTTTTCAATCATGCTATTTTGCTTTGCAGATGGATTGATAGATTGATTATTGTTTAACGCCGAGTCGGCAATATTTCAGCCATATTTCGGCTGAAAATTAAGTTTAATGACCGGTATTTGAAAGGTTTCTGGCTTCTCTGGCGGCCCCCAGTTAGCCTACTCTTTTTCGAAATCCAGAGAACGATTTTTTACGTGCCAAGGGGGTTGTTATCCTTGACACGGGGCACCGTTTAACGTCCCATCCGACGGACGTAAAATTTAAAAATATGTAAATTGTTAGGAAATAAATTGCTCTATGTATTAAAGAATGTGGTTAACAGTTAAAGGACAGTCACATGATATGCACTCAGGCGCTTTGCAGATGGATGAACAAGGTACTTTAACTGTTTAATTTGATGACCAACCAATTTCTTTTCGATTTAACAGTCTTCGTCAAATCTTTTTTTCAGTACATGC